TAATATGGTTAGGGGTATCTCAGCATAGAATTCTGAAATGAATTTGTATCTGTGAACCTGTGCTTATGATTAGGAGAGCGCCCTAGCCTGTAGGGTGCAAAACTCCTACTTTATCCCTCTCCCGTCCTCACCCGTGTCTTCCTTGTTTCTCTCTCAGTCTGTTTCTTCTTTAACCGCGCAATCAGCTACCTTTCCTGTCGCATGTCTTCAGTCTCCCACCCCTCTCACCCTCAGCTAGCTATATTATGCAGTTGTCGTCAGTCCGTAATACACGCCTGAAATAGTGCTCGCGCATGCGCAATATCTCCCGAGATGATTATTATTTTGCAAAGATTATGCATTTAAAATGAAGAGGAGTTATCCTAGCATAGATTTACATGATAAAATTCCATCAGTAGACCTCACTTAAGAAGTAGGAAATTATCACGATGTTAATGATCGCGGCGACACACGGGTACGAAATGCATGAATGTGGATTTGGGGGGGGGGGGTGCACGCACGATCATAACAGCTTAGCATTCCTGATAATGGGCCTGAATGACAGAGTAGCGTCCCCCGACTGATAAATAAGCCATATCGGAAAGTCCCCGCCGCCATATTGAGATCAGATAATTAAGAGGGGTGATAATTAAGTTGCCTATATATAACATGGTTACGATACTACCAGTCTAGGTTTTTGATCTATAACTCTCTTCACTAACTTCGTACTTCAATTCACAAGTGCGTTTCTTGTGAAAGAAACATTTACAAATATGAGTGTGGTCATTTTGGGTTATTTTAGCATACACCCGCCAATCTGTTCGCTAGGAAAAATTGCGGAAATTCGGCGAAATACTCCGGCCTTCCATCGGCTGCTATAGCTAGGGCATCCAGGAAACTCGACTTGTGCATTCGGCTACACATTTCGAATTATTTCTCAGTTTCCCACCGGATATGTCGGACCTTGCGCATGCCCGTTCGCGGCGAAAATAAATAGCATGTGGCGAAATTATGCATCCAATATATTCACAGACCATCCGACAATAGCAAAACATCGTAAAAGTCGACAACCAGCTCGGTATTTTTAATTGGAAAGCCATTTAGAAATTACACGGCCGACGGCGACCTGTTCTTTATTTACGAATTGCAGAGTGCCATCGAATTCATACGACCGATTTCGACTTCTGCTGATTTATGGGAAACTTTTTCGTATATAATGCCG